GCAAGGTGGGCCCTGCCATGAGCAACTCATTCAATGAGTATCCAGACGATGATTTGGCAGACCCATCAAAGACAACACGCAGCTTCGTAGTTGTGCTATCCTCTTTAATGACGCAGTGATGCGGCAAATAAAACTTGCATAAATTCCGTGAGTCTAAATCCACAAGAGACATATGATTCAGATCGAGGTACTCACGAATAAATGCCGAGTACTGAGCTTTGAGATGAGGATGACGATCCAGTTTGTTCTCCAGGTTAACGAAACGACGATAAGCTTGTTGATATGAATCTCCCAGGATTTCAACACTATGCTTGGTTGGCAGGCGAACCGAGTATTCTCCTGACGGCAGCCGAGTAAAGTTGGCGTTGAAATGAGCTTCACAATCGAGTTCCTCTTTGGTACGTTGAGATCCAGACTCTCCAACGTTTTCAACTTCCCAAAACTTCCGCACAACGCTCTCCAGAGGAGCGTCATCTCCGACTAACGTCCCTGCAGTAGCTTGGACCGCCAAGGCCGCTGACTGGCGTGGCGCTGATCCTCCGCCAGTGACAACCCATCCCAATCGAGTTTTTTGCAACAACGGGAGCCCATCAGACAACTTAATTTGGCCAACGCATAGCAGCTCAAAGAATAGACTTGCTCCAATTAATAAGTCAATTCTTTGTGATCTGAAGAACTGTGGATCGGCCAGGCGAATGTTGGAAGGTATGTTCCAGTCCTCTGGGCTGACGGTGAAGCTAGGCTGGTCGTCCGTGATGGCAGGCGCAACCAAAGCCGAGATACTGGAGACGAAATCTGAAGCTTGAGACTTTAGAGTAATATTTACCGAAAAACCATCCGAGCAAAATTTAGAGTCTCCAAGTCCAGATACAGTGGCCGTGGATTTGACTTTCGGCAACTGAAGCGAGTGTGCGAGGCGAGAAGTAATGATATGCAACTGAGATCCCGAGTCGAGCAAGGCGCGGCAAGGAACCCACGAACCAGAGCGATTTTGCACACTGATGACTGCAGTGGCAAGCAAAACACAATCCGTATCAAGATTCTGAGCGACTAAAGCAGCGGATTGCGATGACGACGAAGCGAGTGAGAAGTTTGACGATACATTTGGAACAGCATTTGACGACGATGGCACGTTAGGTGGAGCAGGTTGTGGGGGCGCTGTTACAGGCGGTGCGGGAAAGTGTAGAAGGCTATGATGCTTAGATCCACATGCTCGACAGGAGCCCGAACTACAATTCCTCAATTGATGTCCAGATTTGAGGCAGTTTAGGCATAAGGCTAGCCGTTTAGCTTCACGCAGACGAGCTTGAGGAGAAAGGCTGGAGAATTGAGCGCAATTATAAATGCCATGATTTGCACCCTGGCACATAACGCACAATCTGGTCGAGGCTGTGATGCTAGTGGCGACAAACGAACTTCTCCCATGACTGCTGAACCTCCTGGGCCTTGAAGCTTGCGAATTGCCACCATTGGATAAAGCAGCATGCTCCACATTCTCCAGTTTCTGGCATCGCTTCTCCAGAAATTTAGTAAATTCTGCGCAGGTGGGTATTTTGTCCAGAGAGGCAGACTCTTCCCATTTAGCCTGGGTAGTCGGGTCAACTTTTTGCAGCAGCGTATGAACAAGAATGCAACCAGCGATCTCCTCCAAGGTTCCCAAACTCTGAAGCGCTCGAAGATTGGCATTGAGCTTATCGGAGAGCTCACGCAGCTTCACAGCTGATGCACTTTCCACCTTTGACAAACCAAAAATATCTGTTATGTGAGCCTGAAAAATAAGGCGTTTATTATTGAAGCGATTGTCAAGTAATTCCAGCGCTACTCCATAGTTAGAGTCAGTGATCTCCAGCGAACGAACGGCATCTAAAGCTGGACCTTTCAGGCATGATTTCAGGTGCTGCAGCTTCTCAATTGAAGCCAGATCACTATTCCTATCAATAATTGTCAGGAACATTGAAATAAAATCGGCATACTCAGTGTAGCCGCCGCTGAAGGTTGGCAACTTAAGCTCAGGAAGGCACGATCTTCTTGGAGCAGGCGCAGCGGCCTCCATGGCCACCTCTGGATGCATGGTTGAACACGGAACTCCTTGGAATTTGCGCCTTCCCAGCTCTTGCAGCACCACCGATCTCATGGAGAACACCAAATCCTCAAAGTCGTCCCGCGCTTGGCTGCCAATTTCCCCATAATCGAGTTCCTCCAACGAATCATGAGCCAATGAGAAAGAGGCTTCGGTTTTATTTATAAGCTCAAGTTTCAGGGTGAGCTCCTCCTCAGGAACGGCCTTAACCCTATCGGCAGTAAGGCCAGAAGCAATTTTTTGAGCATGGGCAGCTATCGCGTTTGCCCTACGCTTAAAGAGCGTAACTCGATTGGGCGGCGAAAACTGAGGAGTTTCTGGGGTCGACATTTTATTTTATTAGCTCACAATATAAACTGCAGCCAACAGTTTGACATGCACTGCAGATTTTTCTTTGTACCGCAATGATGCCCGCACACAAGCGAAAGTATTTTGTCAGAGTTACTGCACAAAATAAGCGGGAAGCGAATTCGAATAGCTGTTACCGACGGCAAATGAACAGCAAGCAGGAGAACGAGAGCAAAGAGTACACGCAAAAGTACCGGTGCATATATGTGTATGTATGTATGTACGTTTGCCTAGCGCGGCGCGGCAAAGTACAGCCACAAGCAATGCACTAAACGAAATTGTTTACGCGCTTGGCACAATTATTAAACCGAAATGTTTAATGTTTTTACTAGCCAAAATCACGTCGGGGTCACCAAATGTTGAGCTATTGAGCTTTTTCAATAGCTGTCGAATTGTCCAATTGCTTTTTGACCCAAAAAATACGCACTTGTTTTAAAACGTTATAAATTAAATGCAATATTTATTAGCCACGAAGTTTTCTATCAATTATCAGCGCAGGCCAGCCGAATTGCCGCTGCGGATATTTATGACCCGAAATGGTCCGAAATTGGTTATAGGCAAATATTTAAGCTGCTCGTTTTCAGGCGTAGGTGAAGACAAACGGAGACGAACTGAGAAAAGAATTTCTGCTGCAGTTAGCGGACAGCCAAGGGCAGCTATGCAAATAGAGCGAGAGAGTGATAAAGTTTATGTTAGGCAGAAGGCAGGAGGAGAGGTAAAGCTTTGCTACGCAGAGCAAATTTATTGTTGTTGTTTAGCCGCTGGGTCATCAGGTGCGGGCTGCATAACCAGACACTGGGTATTACCGACAACGCCAAATGCCGGAAATGTGATGAATTCGAGCCAATCGAAACCTTGGAGCATCTCATTTGCAAATGAACGGCCCTAACGAGGGCAAGAATGAGATACCTAGGCTCTCCAGTTCTGGCATCGCTAGAAGATGCCTCCAGGAGGAAGCCAGGCGAACTCCTTGCCTTTGCGAAAAACACCTTAATATTCAAGGATCTCGAAACCCGCATAAATAGTCTCTAGGTGCATCCAGGAATTTCCTCGGATAGCTATGGGCCAAATTAGTAATATAAATATGAAAACCAATCTGCAAGGGTATACAAACTTCGGCGTGCCAAAGTTAGCTTCCTTAATCGTTACGAAAAAAAACGGCCACAGTTCGGACGATGAAATGAAAGTAAATTCAAATTAAGATATCGAAAGTAATAAAAATACATAAAAATACATTTTAACAATGCATTGGGGCTCACCATAGCAATTTTTACAAAATAAAAAATTAGATTCTGCAATATCAAACATCTTGCCCGCAATGCAAAATACAACTGATTTTTCGCGATGTACTTTTTTCGGCGATCCAACAACAATTTACATTCGGACAAGCGAGATAACGGTGAAGCCTATGAAAGTGTTGTTGCCGAGATCAACGAAGACGTGGAGAATGAAGAGAATACGCAAAATTGTTTGTGTAATCTGCATTGCCTCTGGAGTGAGCCGTGCATGCATACGGCGATTGCTCTGCCTATGCTAAAGAGCAATTACAAAAACAATGCGAGCACAAAGAGCTATGGGCTGGGCATGACTGGTTTAGACATATCACATAAAATATAGCCGCCATTTAATCAATGTAAAGCTGTGAAAGTAAAACTGTAATTCTAAAACTGTAAATATTATATGTTCAGGTAAATGTAATAAAACTTTTATTATAAAAGTTGTTTTTTCTTTTTTTTGTTCAGCATATATATTTACAATTTATCTTAAATTAAATATTTCAAACCTAATATTTACTATTATTTAATTTTTTTTATGTTTTTATGGTACATATCTTCAATAAAATTAAGTGTCTGTAAATTTTTATTCAGATCATTTTAAAACTGATTGACAGTTTTAATCGTCTAACTTCGACTGGCCGAAGTTTGTATACCCTTGCAGTTTGCAATTGAAGCATAAATATCAACTCCTTTTTGGTCAAATGAAAAGAAAGACAAACAAAAGATATATATGTACATATATTTATAAACAGCCTTTAACAATTTCTTTTCAAAAAAGTTTTAAAAACACAACGAAAGTCTGAAATAATAAAGAAAGTTCATATGAATGAATATGAATATTTATTAATATAGAGCAATGTTATAATTTTTTTCTACAAATTTTACGATTGTTTTTATGTCAGCTATATCATATAGTCGTTTAATCCCTCTTGTTCCGACATATGTATCATATATAGCAGAGAAAACAGTCAGAGAACTGTCTGCTAAGTTTTATTTAGATAGCTTCAAAACTAAGGGACTAGTTTTCGTACAAACGGACAGACGGGCGGACATGGCTAGATCGACAGCGAGTTGATTCTGATCAAAAATATATATAAATTATAAGGTCGAAAATGTCTCCCTCAGTGCGTTGCAAATTTCTGAATAATATGTTATATTTCACCTTGCAAGCGTATAAAAATAGAAAGTAATTTATATTTATTATTATCATTTTATGAACTATTGTTAGCCATTTTTGGACGAAGACTTAGAGTTTAAATAATAATTTTAGAAATATAAAATATGTTTTTCATTACCTTGCAGGCGAATGCGCGTTTCACTTTTACCAAGGGCATTAACGCTAGAGCAGCTGTAAGCTCCAAAGTCAGATTTTGTCAGATGCTTAATAGTCAGATTAAGGTGCCAAGCGTACTGGCTTATCATTTGTTCTGTTATATTATATTTGCTTCCGTTATGTAGTTTTATGTTGCCTTAAAATGTACTAAATGGTTTATTTTGAAATGATAGCTACTATTTTTAAGTTACCTTCATTTCGATACCAGCCATTTAGAGGCTTGGGATATACTTCCACCATGCATTCCAAAGTAACTTCTCTTTCTAAGGGTGCGCCAACCAATTGATTAAATGCCTTAATTACTGGGGGAACTGAAAATAAATTATATAATGTATTAAATCTGTTCGAAACAGGCCGCCACCTAGTCATGCGCGCATAGGTGTGCCACTGCATCTGCATCGCTCTTATGTTTTCTCTTTTCCGCTCTTCCTTATCTCGCTAAAGCTGTCACATTATCTATTCAGCCAAACTACATTTGTAAGCTCATGAACATATGTATAAATTTTGAAGCCAAGCTGCAGACGTCAGCTCCAAATAAATTATTATTAAAAACTGTGTTTTTAACCATATTATGAACTTAGCCAAGTTTTTAAGTCGTATTGATTCTGAAAATGTTTTTGATAATTTTTTTTTTTATTTTCTTGTTTTTGTTCTGAGGCACCCTATATCCGCGACATAGCTGTACTCACGGAAATTGTCGTAGGTCAGTTTTTTTTACTACTCAAAGTTTTTTATTTACCTTGCTTTGAATTTTTTGTTCTTCTTCTTCTTCTTTTTGAATACACTTTAGTTGGTTAGTTAGTTTTTAAGCACTGCACGTGGGGTTAATTTCACGTTATTTTACTTTTCGCTGAGTTTTAAAAATTTGCGGCGTTTTGGGCGAAATCGTTTGTTTTCGTTTTTAGCTCCTCCGGTTTTCGAAAAATTTTTGCTATCGGAATATTTCGTTTTCTCATCTTTTCTTACTGCTTAAGCAGCTGACTTGATTTTTTTGGTAAAAAGCAAACAACGTAAAAGACTGCCTTTTATATTTACAATTGATTATTTCGAAGCCAGAAAAGGCAAAAAATGCTGGAGTTAAGCAAATCTAGGCATCTTAAGTTCTGCTACATTTTTCACAGTTTTAATTCCGGTGGTCAATTTTGACCAAAATAGCATTAGTTTTTTTAACAACATCTTTGACGCTCCTCTAAGGGTCCATTCAAATCAAAATACGTAATAGTTTAAAAGCAATAGTTAAAAAAGCATACATAAAACTTTAAACGCGTTTTCTCGAAAACTACATTTTTCGAGCTGGCGACCGTAATATCTCGGTAAATTTTAAACGAATCTTAATAAAGTTGTCCATGGAATAGGCTACAATTACATAGCTTATACATTATGTAGCTTATACATTGGATTTTTAATCAACAAAAAAGTGAAGAAAATTTTCACAAAAACTGTGAGGAGTCGTTTGACTCCCCACAAATACGCGGCCGACAACAACAACAGCGGCCAGCGACGGCGGCCAAGGAACAACAACCACAGTGGCCAACGCTCATGGAGAGCCACAACAAAGGCAACAACAACAGCCGCCAACGCTCATGGAGAGCCGTAACAGCAGTTAGCAGCGAAAACAGCGAAATCTAAAATAAACCGGCGCACAGTAGCGCCTCTCGAACAATTAGCGTTGCAAAAATCGAAAAACTCATGTTCGCAAAAATGATTTTAACCATACTTATTCGACAGAAATCAGAATCTGCAATAAAATCTATTTTAAGATTTTTTTTGTAGAAGATATGAGCATTCAAAGTTGAACTTTCTTTCGTTTTTTGCATCATACCAAAAAAAATTGGTAAAATGGTCGACTTTCAGGTAATATTACACAAAAACCATAAAACCAATGGTCATGGTTTTTACTTTAAATGATAGATACATTCATAAACTGTTAAGAACCCAAAAAAAAACGGCACTTTGGTTTGGGCTTGTACAGGTAAATCGCTACCTGCCAGGTGTCCATTTTTTTCACCTTTTTCTGCCTAAAGTGGTCTATAACTTCTGAAGCCGATGAAAGCCACCGACTACACTATGTCTACAAGTTACGTGGATCTTTCCTGGACCAGAATTAACTTTCATCGGCTGCGTCTGCGAAAATGCTACGACATAAACCAAAGCTACTCATGGTGAAATATACCAAAATACAGACCAATTTCATACATTCCAAGAAATATACTAACTGTAGCGCGTGGCGGTTACACTTTGAATTAAAAAAAAATTTTTTTTTTCAGTTTTCAAATTATTTTTATTTGAGCAAATATATCAAAATAAACATAAAAAATTAAATAAAAAATATTTTTTAAAAATTGTTTTCATTGAAAAAAAATTATTTATTCACTTTGATCCCCTTTAAAAGGGCGTATTTGTGGGCGTGGTACTTTATGCAGTACATATATACATTTTACAACAATTACCTGTCCAATGCCGTTTAAATTATTCAATTACCTTTTCGTTCTAAAGATATGATTTTTGCAAGGCTAAATGAGAAAAGGCGCTACTGTGCGGCGGCGGCCAAGGGCCGAAACCAAAACAAAACCCTCGCGAATAACTTTGTAAATAACTTTGTATATATTTTTGAATATCTCCTTCATATGTAAACCTATGCAATAATTGTAAGATTTCGCATACTATTTCTAAATAATAATTGTATTAATCTAAGCTTAAGCGATAATCGGTAGTTACCTTTCCCCCCGTTCTCACACCACTAGCACACACACACACACCCAGCCAGAGCAGAGAGGAGGGAAGTGTGTGAGAAGTCGCGATGTGCGGACGCCCGCGCGGGTGCTCCGTCAAGACTCGTGCTGTGGCAGTGCCCCTAGGGGAATAAAAGTGGTAGCAGTACGCAGGATGCGGTGTGAGGGTAGTCTCCAGACTCACCTGTCGAGGCACGGCTCCTACGGCCCGCGGTGGGCACTTTTGTGCCCCAATGTTATGGCGAGACGGACGACGGCTAGGGGTAAGGGGGGATCTTTCTTCCCCGAAACTTTCTCTTCCTTCTCTTCCACCGCCGCTTTCTCTCTTTGGGTCATAATGTGGATGCCCCCAAAAAATGGTGCCGGTCACGTCAGCTGATTGCTCGATCAGCTGGCGTGCAGTGTAGTGAAGCGAGCGCAATGCAGCTGTGTGGCAGCACTGCAGCGCCGCTGCACTCTACATGTGAACATTAGCGCCACCTACGGGGTAAAAACCCTGACACGTGACAGAAGCTGCTTGCTACAAGCTTCAGCTAACGATCGCTGCGGAAATTCCCGGGCTGCTGCCCGAAGTCCTTGGCAAGGAGACGGAATTTGGCTATGTTCCGCCGGAAATGAGGTTCGCTCACGTGGCCAAATGGTGGAAAAGGTCACGGATCTGACCGACTGCCATCCCCTCCGCCCTGGCGGTACACCCAAAAAGGGGCTCTGGCGACCGAGGCGGGGCGGTATAACCCCCAACATTACGTAGCCGGAGGGAAATATTCGACCAGCGCACTATGGGGTTTTTGACCACTTTTTGTGGCATTAAGTCATTTTTTAAAAGTGCTCTGATTTAAAAAAAATTGGTGGGAATATATTAACAGAACATCAAACTGTTATGCCTCATACTTAAAATGTTAATACTTAACAGCATATGTTAGCATAACAGCTGCAAAGTCAGCTGTTGCAGCCGAAAGCACGTCTGCTAAGTTTGCCATTTTAACGAAGTGATCTTTGAAATTAAACTATTCGTGTAGGACACCATTTGTAAAGGAAAAAACAAATGGACACTGATTTCACAGGTTTTAACTATATGTTAAATGTATTCATTGTTTAAATTGTGCGTGTTTATACTGACATTTTGTCATTTTATAAATGCACCTTAGGCTGAATTTTGAGAAACAAATTTCAACTTTGGGAAGAGTTTTGAAATAGAAGTTCGCATTAGTTTTTAATGCGTCCAAGTGTATGTTGTAGCGTTGTCAATTCTGAGCAAAAATCAGTTAGTCTTATTGTGCACTTTTCCGCACTATTGGTGCAAGTTGAATTTTTCTTAGATAACCTCACTGTTTTCAACGCCAATTTGGTGGCTGTTTGTATGGAAAAACACTGATTTCCGGTCTTTTGCTTATTTTTGTTCCTAGAGAAAGCGTTGTCCGATTTTGTTCAAAATTGCTATATCGTGTTAAAATAGCAACAAATATAAGCTCCTTAAATTTCATTAATTTATCTTAACTTTTACCCGATCGTTCCTATGGGAGCTATAGGATATAGTTTCCTGATCCGAACGATTTTCATACTATATGTGCCAAAGATCGATTAAGGACGATTGGTAAAGTTTCATGTCGATATCTCCAAAACTGACCGAGTTATTAATTAATGCCACAAAAACTGGTCAAAAACCCCATAGTGCAGCGAGGGAGGCCGCGTGTCGTCCCGATCTGGTGGAAGCGATCACCACACACAACGACTGAATCCACGCAGCGTCTGCTCATACTGGGCGGCTGCGCGATCTGCGTCTGCGCCATAGTGGCCGGCAGTGGAACCAACCTGGCAGCAGGTACCAGCTGCACACTACTTTAAACCCAGGTAGCGTCTGACCCACATTGGGCGGCTACTTGGTCTGCGTCTGAGCCATAGTGGCCGGCAGTCTTTAGCCCACCTGGCAGGAGGTATAAAATGCAGCCCCGCATTGGGCTAAAAATGCAAAAACCAGGAATGTCGAGTAATAACAATATTACTCCAGGTGGCAGCCACAAATGTGGAAATCCACCCGCGGTTGACCCCGCGGCAAGGGCACGGATTCTGGAGGCCCTAACCCACACTTCAACCCACACTGTAGCTCCGGCGGCCCACTTGGCCGGCGCTCCTTTATCAGCGACAAGTGATGATACCAATGACTTGGGAGCCTTCCAAAAGCGGTCAAGGTTGCAGCGGACCCCACCTAGCGGCGGCTCCACGGCAACTGGCCAAGACTCGGAGAGAGTCCTGGTTCCCATCGGTCGGGAGACGAGCTCGTCAACCCCACCCTCAAAGAGAGTAAGGGACTCCCCTAGTCCCCCTGTAGCGGCCCACCCACGCAAAAAGATCATCTGGACCTTCCCTCACCGCGCTGAAGGAGCAGATTGGAAGTGTGCTAGGCGGAGGAGTGCCGATCCGCACAGTGTCACCCCAGACCACATTCCATATCCGGGACCTGGACGAGTTGGTAACCAGGGAGGAACTTACGACAGAGCTCGCCTCACAGGCTAACTTCCCACCTGGTTCAAGAGCATCCGCTCCCTCGCAAGTGGAGGTCAGGTGGCAACGTTCTCCGT